GAACCAAAATAAAGTTGAAATAAAAACTAAAGATAATTAACCAAAAAAATTTTTTTTTTTTTTTTTTAACTTTATTAATTGTTTAATTTTTTTTTGGAGGGGAGACCTGTAAGTGGAGGGGGGGATAACGTTAAACGAGGTTTTAATTTCAAGTCACCTTACTACTACGCTGACAATTTACGGGATCACACGATGGAAATGAAATTTCGTTCTCACAACTCATTTTATTAAATCATTACATTCTATAGAGATTTATATAACTTTTTTTTTTTTAGCCGAGCACTAGATAATAATTTAAGAAATCGAAAACTTACTATTTGATGAATGCGAACAATATATTGCCATTGAATTTAAAGAAATGAGCAAGCAGAATAATATCGTTTTTTTTAGGCTCTTCATTGAAATGCGTTTTTAGTTTTTTTTACAATTCGAATTTCTTTAGAAATTATTATATAATTAATTTTTTGTGGTTTTACTAGATATTTAAACAATTGAAAGGTCGACTTCCATATATTTGTAAAAGAATAAAAATTATTAATAATTCAAAAATATTTATTATTTGTATGTGGGGGGATATAAAGAACACAATAAACGGAAAGAGATGAACAAATTTTTTCGAAAATAAAATGTATATGTTTTAACAAATGATGAAATAGATATTTGGAATTTGCATTTGTAAGACTTTGGTTTTACGATTAAATCCTGGTTGGTTATCCTTGGCTGCGGTTCGATCCTTTAACATTGCAGTATTGCAGTTCATTATAAACGCGTTGATTAAACTTAATTGTCACACGAATTATATTAGTGTACCGTTTCTTACGTCAAGCTCTAAACAACTCGTTACTTATTTTTTGTAACAAACAATCCCGGAATAAGTCTTACCAAATTTTGTTTGGTTCTCTTCAATCTAAAATTAAGATTAAATAGTTATTGGTCAAATATACTATATTGATATAAGAACTTACATATTTTATGCGTAAATAACGTTCAATGAAAATACAATATAAATATACTATATATATCATGTATGAAAATATGGTCCGATTTTTCTGATTCAAAATTTTTATGTTTTATGTTTTTTGCTTTTTTTAGATTGTGCTCTGTCTCACAGGAAAAGTATGCAATTGGTCCCAGCAATTCGGATACGTATAAGTATATAATATTCAATATTTAAAAAAAGTATCAATCTAACGCCTAATGACAACTGTTAATTCGAAAGTATAATTTTTCATGTACGTACAAAAAAGGGGTGGCGCTCATTTCACCGACACTCATTTCACCGACATATTTAGCCCGATTTAGGGTTAGGGTTAGGTTAGTGTTAGCCAAATTTATATTTTATTTTTTTTACCGTTTTTATCGTTTACCGGATTAATTAATTTTAATGAATTTCTATTTGTTAAAAAGGCAAGACTGGTTGATTGGTTATTAATATCGTCTTCATTTAAAATTTTTCTGAAACACTCTTTACTGAATAATAATATATTCATCTAACACTTCTTAATTATATACAAAAAAATGCGTCGAATTATAATATCCATTTTGTGTTTAACCTTTATTTTCTCGACTATTTTTAATATTTTTGGTGTTGACGCTAAAGAACCTCCTACAACCTTGCAAATTGGTTAGTTCTTTTTGATTTCTTTCGCGACTTTTAAAGCTTCAAAATCTCAAGCCACAAACTCTTAATATTTCTAAATAGGAATTAAACATCGTGTCCCTGAGGGTCAATGCACTAAAATGACAAAGGACGGGTAAAAAATTTTTTAATATTCTCATTGTTATACTTTTTTCTTTGGAAATATAGTTTAATTTTCTATTACCATTTTCTTGGTCATAATATCATTCGTTTCATGTTCCCTTTGTTGTATCATATCAGTGATTCAATATCCGTTCATTATACAGGGGTTCTCTTTGAGGATGGAAAAGAATTTGATTCTAGTATTCCTCGTGGTGAACCTTTTACTTTCACTTTAGGTAAAAAAAAAAAAAAAAAAAAAAAACCTTTTAATCTATCGTGTAATATTTTAATTCATTCTAATTCGTTGTAACTATTTGATACCAACTAAGGGGTTGGGCAGGTCATTAAAGGTTGGGATCAAGGTCTGAAGGGGTGTGTTTAAAAATCTTTTTTTTTTTTTTTTTTGGTGGATTATTAGACAAAATTATTTATTTTAAAAATATTCACTCTATTTTACATTTTAATGAAAGCATGTGTATCGGTGAAAAACGTAAATTAATAATTCCTTCTCATCTCGCTTATGGAACTAGAGGAAGTCCTCCGGCTATTCCTGGTAATTGTCTTTTTCATATGATTTTTAATATTATCACAATTTATTAACCCATACTTTTTTTTATTTTTTTTTTTTATACACACTAGAAAATGCCGCTCTCGTATTTGACGTTGAATTGGTTGGAATTGGAAAGAATAGAGTTGAACTTTAAAAACCTTTTGTGTAGTATATAATTTGATCCGATTTTTAGGATTTATACTATATATTTAGATTTATCACCTTTGATGTCTACAATTTGAAAATAGAGTGTACTAATTTTTAAATTGTATAGAACATCAGGGACTTACGTACAAAAAACTATAAATTTCTTTATAATAAATATTTATCTTTTTTAAAAACCTATATATGTTTATAAAATATATAATTATAAATAGATAATTTTTACTTGACAAAAATTTAATAATAATGCAAATAATTATTATATGTACATTCAAACTTCGCTATACCGTAGTTATACAGAATTTATAAAAAGATGTAATTATATTTAAAATATTTATATAATTTTTATTATAATAAAAAAAATTAAAATTATTTATAGAATTATAAAATTTAATTAATAATTAAGGAATTTCTATTTTTACTTAGGTTAAAATCACCGAAATATTAAATAAATTTTTATTTACTTTAGGGTTAGGGTGCGGTCTAAGATTTCATCTAGACATGAGTATATACAAAATTTTATATTTTTGTTAAAGTCTGCTAATACTATTAAATTTAGTTATATAAATGTTATTATAGTTTGTTAAGTAATTTTAATCTGAGTAAAAATAGAATTTCCTTTAATTTTAATTTTTTTTCCAATAAGAGAATCTTGCTACTTATATTTTTTTTTTTTTGTTAGTTAAGGCTGCTTCCTTGGCCGATTGAATTTTATTAATTTGCTATTACGGAGTTACTGTAGTACAGTTACATGATGAGTGTACAACAAGCCACACGTACAACTTTAGTTATTGTCTAATTTAAGTAGTCCGCCATACAG